CCCAGGCACAATGGCGGGAAATGAAAGGGGGCGCAGTGCATGCCGGGACGGCGGAGGACCGGAGCCGGGGGAAGCAGCGCCCCCGTTCGGCTGAAAGTGGGAGATCTCTTAAAGGGCCAGGAGGCCCCACTGAGGTTTTAAGGCAAAAAATGGCAAATTCAGGACCCGGTTGCGGGCTCAGCCCAACCTCATCCTGTCGCGCCACGACATTTTATCTCCTCCCGCACTATCTATCCTGCACTCCAGGGTGCAGAGGACTCAGGGGACATCACAGTCCTATGGGACCCCGACCCAGGTCAAGGGGGCTACCTGGTGTTGGTTGGGTGTACGGTGAACAGGGAGCCCAGATTCACCCCCTCTTCCCGGCCAAGAGAGCTCCAGCAGGGACCTGACAGGAACTGCTGTATGCCTGGATTGGGGAAGGGAGTCCCCAAAAGGTCCCCATTCCCCTTCAATCAAGGGAAGCAAGGAAGTAAACCAGAGGAGAATGGAGGGAAGGTAGCTGCATATAGAAGGAGGTAGATCCCTGATCCAAAACCACAGAATCCCAGACTGGTTTGGGTTGGAAGAGAGCTGAAAGCTCACCTTATTCTACTCCCTGCCATGAGCAGGACACCTTCCACTATCCCAGGCTGCTCCAGGCCCTGTCCAACCTGGCCTTGGACACTTCCACAGACGGGGTAGCCACAGCTTCTCTGGGCAACCTCTGCCAGGGTCTTCCCACCCTCACAGGGAACAATTCTCTGTCCTCTGGCAGTGGGGAAGCAATTCCTCCTTGACCTGCTCCTCCAGGCCCTTTTCCAAAGTTCCTCTCCAGCTCTCCCAGAGCCCCTTTAGGCATTGGGAAGCCCTCTGAGGTCTCTCTGGAGCCTTCTCTTCTCCAGGCTGAGCATGGGAGCTGTTTCCACCTCCACCCCAAGCCAGGAAACACTTCCCAGGGGCCAAGATCAGAGCAGCAACAACCACCCTTCACAAATTGGGATTCAGGAATCCCTGCCCATCCCCTGCTGTCCCCAGGGCTATGGAGGCACAGCCTTTCACCTCTCCAATGAAAAAATTCCATTGGAGCTTAATTCCACTTTTCCTTTTAATGCAAAAAAATAGCCAAACACATCTTCCTACCCTCCCTCACCCTCCCCAGGTGTTTTCTTTGTTGTTCTGCTTAATATTTCCAGCCAAGCAGCTCCCACCCTCCCAAACCTCCGTGGCTCTAAAGCCACCCGGTGCTTCCCCCCCTTCCATTTTCCCAGTGTGGCAAACCCCAAATGCATCTCCAACCACCAAAAAAGATGAGGGAAAGAGGGAAAACAGCGGGGTGCACAGTATTTCAGCAACGTGCCAGTTCTAACCCTGCCAAGAGATTATAGGAAGAAAGAAGAAGAAATAATACAAAAATAAAACCACCAAACGAGTAGCGACAAGCATGGAGCAGCCTCAGCACACAGTGTAAACAGAAGCTGTCCCAGTCCAAAATCTGGCTCTCCCGGAAAGCAACAGCACAACATGCTTTGTACACCCTGAAAGGTCCCTGTGGCGCTGAGCAGCCAAGGGGAAGGATCTGGGTTTGAGCTTGAGTTGATATTTTTTGCCTTATACAAAAGGCTGAAGTGATCTCGGAGTCTTCAAGCGGTGTTTGCAGCACCCAGCCTTGCCAGGCAGGGAAAGGGATGTGAGAAAAGTGCCATGGGAAGAGGAGGGATAGGGATACAGGGACCCTGAGAAAAGGTCCCAGGGCTTTGCAGATGAGAAACCTGGACAAGGGAAGGGAGAGAGCAAACAAATACAAAAAATAGATATAAAAACAGTTCGTGTGGAGGAGAAGAACACGGACAGTAAGTTCATTGTACTGCTGGCCTCCCCAAAGCAAGAAAAATAATAGAAAATCCCATCTGAGGTGACAGTGAAGGGTCTGACAGAATTCCCTTCCCTGGGGAAAATAAAAATACAAATGAGGTACCTGTTCCACCCCAAATCTGTCACCCCTTTTCATAGCCACATCCACACGCAAGCGTTATTATCTCTCAAATAAAGTCTCTGGGCCAGGACAGCCCTGGAGCAGAAGCACCGAGGCATGGCTATATCCTCCGGGTTGGGTTGTCCAGCAAAGATCCAGTCTCTCCTTGACCCTGCCACAGGTGGTGTTGTTCAGTGCTCCACGGAGACAGAGCCTTGTCGACGTCTCACGTGTATTGTCAGCTTTGTTTTAAAAAACAACATTTTACACATACACACACATATATATATGTATATATACATATATATATATACAGTACAATGAAAATATCCATGGTAACAAATGGAGTGACTGGAAAAGATGCTTAACAAAAAAGCCTGAAATAAAACAAATTCCCAGCTCTTCCGCTAACTGATGTGTGCCTTCCCCACTAGTCTTCCAAGACCACAATCTCCACATTATGGACCTGGTGCTGATGGTCTTCCACATCTCCCACCACCTTCTCCTCAGTCCTCAGCTCTGTCTCCAGGATCACAGCTTTGCCCTCTGATTCATCGGTGTCCGCCTCAGGATCTGGCGCTGGGTCGATCTCTATGATGGTCTGGCCATCGTCCGAGGTGCCTTCCACAGCTTGGATGGTGGAAGTGATGCCAGACTCCATGGCCACCAGTTCCACGGGGTTGACCATGGCTGCCACATTGGCCAGGGCCCCACTGTCCTGCATGGCTGCTGAGCTCAGCAGTGCCAGGCTGGAGGACGGGTGCAGGGTGACGGTGTCCGAAGAATTGGTCTTGGAGGATGAAACCACAGTGGCATATCGAAAGAGCTGGGAGCCAGACGGCAAGGTATGAACAGTCACCGGGCTGGAGCCTTGGTTGAGGGTTGCCACTGGGATGTTGCCCACAGAGAACTGCTGTCCAACAGGTGCGATGGCAATGGGGGAGATGACAGTGAACTGAGGCTGCTGGATGGGAGTGGAGGGGCTGAGGATGGTGGCAGAGGCTGGGCGCTGCAGACGGGGTCTCTTGGGAGGCTTGGGGGCGCTCATGGGCATCAGCACCACATTCTGGATGGTTTGGGACTTGGCCTTCTGGTCCCTGGCAAGTTTCTTCTGTTCTTCCAGCTGCCGCTCCAGGTCTGCAAAGGTAATGGTTGAGCAACACATCATACCAGGGTAAGTAGGAGCTCCTGGGGCTCCAGAACCATCATTCCCAGGTTTGTGACAGGAGGTCACCCAACCACCCAGTAAGCCTGATCTTGGTTTCTCCCTTGAGATCAAATGGCACCAAAGGAAAAGGGTAGGTTCTCCTGCCACCCACATAAACCTGGTCAATGTTCCAGCTGCCAGCACCTGGGGAAGACACAGGTAATATTCCATACTTGTTGGCAACTGCTACTGACAAGGAGATGGACATTACTGCTCCCCACAAAGCTAAACCCACCTGCAAGGGAGAGTGGATAAACCCCCCCGCCCCCAGCAGCTGGAACTGCTTCTTGAACTTGGCTGGGTCACCTCCCCAGGAGTCAAGCACCTACACTGGGGACAGCCAGCAGGATGCCTGGGTGAATGAAACATTCCCCTCAACCCTTGTCAGTGGGAACACTGGGTGCCAGAAGTAGCACAATGACCTAATTTATCCAGGGCAGTAGGGGACTAGGACATCTCAGATAACAACAGATCCTACAGGACGTGGTGAGGAGGAAGGCACATCCATTGAGCAGTTCTGGGGATCCCAGGTCAGTCAGTGGCTTCACCTCAGGGGAAGTGAGCAGGATGCCCAATAGCACCACAAGACAAGCAGATAGCCCTGATAGCCAAGACAAGGAGAAGCTCAGCACCCTATACTCAGAGAAGCTTATTAGTTTGGGTACAGCACAACACTGTCCATGGCTCAGGTGACCATGGCATAGCACTGAGCTGGCAGGTTCTATCCCTGAAATCCTGAGGGAAATTGGACACTTGCCCACAGCACCCCAGTTGCAGCAAAGGGCACAGACTTTGGGCTGTCCCATGTCCCAAGTAACTGCTCTCTGTGAGGCTGGGGAGAGAGGAAATTCTATGCAAGCCCTAGGACAGAAAAGGGTTAGGGTTGGATTGGGACGCACTTGTTTTGGAGCAGCCTGTACTGAACACTAACCCTAATTCATTGGGGTTGTGTGGAAGAAAAGTCATGTCCATTCCCAAGAGTAGCAGCAGGATGTGAACCGTTAGTAGGCACTTTACCTGCCAGTGTGTAAAGAAACTGCTCCTCTCCTTGCTCTGTCTGGTTTTTCCTGTTGTCCAGTACCTTCTTGACTGTGTCCATTAAGCCAAATGTATGGGCAACATTGTTCAGGACTGCAGCATCTCCAAGGAAAGGGCACAGGGATGTTACAACTTGGGCACTCAAAAGATGCTCCTGTTTCACCAAAATTTTTCTACTGCTCTTTAAAACTCTCTCTGTTCTTTCACAAGAGCTAGCTGAAAAAGGGAAACCAAACTCCCTCAATCTTCTGACATCCCTGGATTAAATAATTCCATTCACATGATAAAACAAATTGGACAGAGTTGTGGCACTCAAGCAGCTCCTCCTAGCTTCTGCAAATTAAAGTGCAATTTGTAATCACAGAAATACAAACGAGCTCTCCGCCTACAAATCATCACCCCATGCTGCTGACAGTGTCATTAACGTGCCAAGCTCCACTGAAAGCTGTACAAAATGTCTATTATAATCCACTGACTTCAGTCACTCACAGTTCCCAAAACCTGACACCTACCAGACTCAATGATGTGCCAGTCCAAAGTTAAATTAGAAAATAAAAAAAAAAAAAAAAAATACTCTGGGTAAAATGAAGTTTGTGGCTACATGGATATTCTTTCTGGAAGAGCATGAACGCAAGAGGTGTTCACAGGGGCATGTGTCAAACCAGATTAGGGAGCCTGATCCAAGTTAAAAATAACCCTAAAAAGGGGAGGGGAATTATTTTTAACCCAGGTAATTTCCCTCATTATTTCTGGTTCAGCCCCCAGAACAGGTTTTCTGGCACCAATGAAAGCAGAATGAAAAGTGAGGGGGCAGGACCTGTTTAAGCCCACAGTGTGACAGGGAAGTGTTTGAGTAACTCCAGTGTAAGTGACTCTGGGAAAGCTTCCATGAGAGCTGGGAGCTGTGGGCAGTCATCTGATGTTCCCAGCAAGCTGCCAGGGTCACTTTGCTCAGGGAACAGCATGGAATGTTGTGCTTTGAAGCAAAGGTACTTCACAGCTGGGCAGGCTGAAAACACAGACTGTGCTCCCACAACTCAGCTAAATGAGTGGGAACTTGCTCCCCATCCTGACTCACCAGCTTCACATGGTGGAATGGACCCTTAGCACAGTTGTTTGTTTTCTTTTTGCCTGCAACTGTCCTTTTGAGGTTTCTTCCTCACAACCTACCTGTCATCTGGAAGGGAGACTGACCCAACCGCTGCTGCACACCTCTTAGGACTTCTTCTATCTCCTTCTGGATGTTGCACACCACCTCTTCCATCAGCCCCACATCAGCTATTCCTTTCCAGAACATCAGTGTGTCCTCTGGCACAAAAGAGGAGGAAAAGAAGTCAACATGTGCAAGCATTTGGCATTTTTCCCACAGGGCCACCTTAAACTTCTCAGGCAAGAGTATCTTTTCAAGGTGACTACCTTTGCAAGGTAATTTGGCTACTGGGGTGGACAGGACATGTGAAAAAAATAACCAACCCAAAATCAAGCAAAATGGACTCAGGCAGCAAATCAGGAACAGGTTTTTAGGCAAGTCCATGACTTCCAAGGCAACATTTCACATTTTTGCAAGGTGCAGAACTTAAGATCATTATTTGAGGAAATTCTAGCTCAACTTCCATACTGATACAACAAGGGAATGCAAGGCCAGAGAGAGACAGAGCAGAGAGCTGACAGGGAACAAACACAACTCTGCTCTTTGTTGGTTCCAGCCTGCCTCCAGGCTGGCAGATGTGTTTCACATCCTTGGAATAAAACAGAAAAGCTCCTCACTGTAACCAGTAATATCTGATCTGAGAGATCATCCATCAGCCACGAGGCCAGGGCCGAAGTCCTACAGTGGTGAGGAGCTCCATTTGTAGAAAGCCTAGATGCCTGGGTAATGCTGGAGATCCAAGGGGCTGGGGGACAGCTTTGTCATTGCCCAAAATTTACTTATTTGCAAGATTTGGGTTTCCAAAATGTAACAGGGGAGGAGAGCGGAAGAAAACACCCAACAAGCAGCCTGAACTTACCTGAGATCTCATCTGTGTCCTTTTTCATGCCCTCCTCAGTGGCCATGGTGACAGCAGCTGTCAGAGCTGAGTTCCACTCGATGCCCTCATCCATACTCTCCTCTGACAATGCTATCTGGGTGATGCTCCCTGCCAGAAAGCCTCCATCAGCTCTGTCCGACAGCCTGAATCCCTGCTTTGTTTCCCAAACCCTCAGCTCTCCTCAGGCTCTCTTTCACACTTTGGGCCAGGTTTGTGCTTGGCTTCTTTCAACCAAACCAGTTAAAAAGCAAATATTGCTGCTTCTCATTGTAACTGTGACTGTGAAAAGCACTGGGACTTCTGAAGGGAAAACCATGTGCCTTGCACAGTAGAGTCCTGGCTCAAGGGAGCAGAAAGGGATCAGAATAAAGAAGGGAACAAATAAGGCTCAGCCCAGCCACCCTTCTCCCCTTGTATCATTCACAGGAAGCTCTGTACCCCTAATCCCCCACGAAATGGATCTGGGGTCTCAGCTGGTTTACAGAAGAGAAACTGATCTGATGCAATTTTAAGTTTCTGGATCAAATTTGGGACTAAACCAACATGCAGCCACTGTAAGTTGGCTACGGTGCTTTCCAAGAGATTCTCCTTACCCTAAGGACAACTCTGCCATGTCATCCATCCAGGGGCTCAGAGAAATGTAACCCATCCAGCTTAATGATATGGTACAGTTGGGAATAGTCTTCTCCCTTAACCTCAGCAAAGAGATCAGTTTCTACTCTGGAGCACAGGATCACTAAGAACTTGCAGTTGGAATGACAATCAAATCACATCCACCCACCACATCCTGTACATGGATGTTCTGAAGGAGGACAACATTTCTAAATTCACTCCTGAGACCAACTCATGCCTTTAAAACAGACTCCGAAATGGAAAATTTATCAGAAAATGCTGTGCGAGGTCTCACAGGTGTTTGATCCCTGCAAGGCTCTCAATCCTTCTGGCTATGAAGGCTGCCTGTCTGGAAAGCAGCTGCTTGATGCCAGCAGTTTTCCAGCCTTCCTAGTCTCACAGAGCAGAGCTCCCTGACAGATGCTGCCAAGACTTCTCCAAACAGACACGAGAAGCATTTTCCTTCCCAGAAGCTAGAGCTATCTCCTGGTGCGACTTCCCTGATGTGCCCAGGGAGAAGGTGTAAAGCTTGTGTAGGAGGGAGAGGAGCATCAGAGGAAAGTTCCCATGGCACTGGTAACTGGTTTCGTACCATCAGCTGAGGCTGGAGTCTGCACCACGCTCTGCTGCCCTGGCACTGGTGCTCTTGCACTGCTGATCAGGAGATCAAACTTGGTGCTTCGACAGGTGTTGGTGCAAACTTTGTCGTGTTGGTAGAAGTCAATCTGCCCTGAATCCATCATCTTCCTGTGCAGGGAGTGGGGATAGAATAAAGCTAAGCTCAAATCTCAGCCTAGACACAAAAGGGAGTATTCCACCTGGGAATGCTATGGCCATGGGAAGCAAAGAGAAAGGTACATCCCCTTCTTGGCCACTCTGCACCCAAAAAATCTCATGCAAGGCTTACAAATGACAAACACAAGTGATCCCCAGCTACATATACAGAGTTTCAGTCCCGTTCCACCCCAGGTTCCCCAGGCGATGACACTTCTATCCAGGGTGAGGGATCCTGACTCTCACATCACGGGGTCAGGATCTCTACAGGCTGCTGGCCAGGTACTGTGGGCCTCCAGGGGACTGCAAAGCAGACAAAATGCCTGCTGGGGGTCCTGCAGCTGCAGGGGTGGAGCCCTGAAGCAGGACAGGGTCAAATACCTTAGCATGATTCCTCCAAGGCGAATGGCTCTCTTCCAATCCTTCAGGGTAGACTTCCCAGCCAGGTGAACAAAGTGCTTTGGGCTAATCAATTGGTCATTGAACTGGCAACAAGACAAGCAAAGGCTCAACAAACAGGGTAATATCACCTGGGAGGATTGGGACATCCAACACAGCTCACCTGAGCTCCCGCTTCCACCCAGAGAGGAGCTGCTTCTCAGATCCCCCCAGCTTTGATCGCCTGGGCACAGCAATGCTCACAGCTCCAGGAAGCATGTCTGTAGAGATGCCCTGCCAACCATAGGCATTCACAGCCCTAACCAAGAACAGCCCTGAAGGCTTTATATGAACCAAATTATCTCCTATGAACACGTATAATCATTCTGGAGATCATTACAGGAAGTTTCTGTTACATCAAATGGCCCAGCAGCATCCAGCTGACACATCAGTTCTGCCCTACTCCAGTGACTTGAGTAGTTCCTGCTGAGGGGCAGAAGCACAAGAGACTTTGCTGTCAAACTGCTATGCTCCCAGGTGGGAAAAGGTAACACCAAGATTTCCCTTCTCAATGCAACCTGCTTGCCAGGGAAGTGACAGGAGTGGAGTACCAGGACACCAAGGAAAAGGGAGGAGGCAAAGCTCTGCCAGATGTCAACACACATCTCCTGCCTGCCTTCAGTCCCTCCTCAAGGGCCAACACAACTGAAATACAAAGTGGGTAATATCCTTCCCTCCTTAATACACTCTTTCCATGCTTCTCCCCATCAAAAACAACTTTAGCACCAACAATCAAAGGACTCAGGATGAAACACAGAAACTTCCCAGGAATTCCTGTGGAGGCCAATAGCACAGCTGAAGAGCAGAGGAGGAATCCACTGTGAGTTTCTCCCTTACCTTCACACACTTGACATTAATTCCTGGACAGACAAACTTCTTCCAGAGAAGGATGGCTTTGCTCTCCCCACAGGTGATGGGATAGGCAATCTCGATTTCCTCACTCGTTTCAAGGGTGCTGGGGTCTGAGGGAGGAAAAGCTCAAAATGAAACTTTCCACCCAAGAGGCTCCAATCCTACAAGGCAGGAGCTGGAAGCTCATAGGTTGTGAGACCTGCACTTGGGAAACCAAAAAAAAAAAGGGCAGATCCCAGTTCAGGATCAGTCCTCTCTTTATCTTCTCAGAATTAGTTCAGATTAACTCTAACAGCAACTGGCATCTGCTTTTTTGGTATAACAATGCTCCAAATGAAGCTCATCTATAAGGAAACATGAAATCAGGAATCCAACACATCTCTAAGGGGGGAGGTGTAAATGAGAACAATCTAAGTGGCAACAAAATGGTTTAAAATTTGGAGCACAGATATCTCTCCGATTCTTGCAGCTCTGGTATCTCTTTAGCAACAATATCAGATACTTACTGATAAGATATTCTCTTCATGTGCAGAGTTTCTGCTAATCCTGCCAAAAGACTCATACCCACACAGGAAGCAGAACTCTAGTCAAGATCTAGTGATAGCACCTGGTGACAGGATCCTTTTCCCCCCACACTGCTCAGGATGGCAGAGAACATTTGGAGCCAACCTGCTCGGTTCTTATGAACATCCAATCCAAACCATCGGACAGTTGGTTCAGCAAAGACCTCACAACCAGAGCCTGATGCTTCAGCCACCCACCTCATCACTATCATTCCTGCTGCCAGTGTCTGCACACCAGGACTAGGGTAACATCCTCGCTCCCCTGGACCCCATGGGAGCACTTATCATTCATTGCAGGAGAGCCAGGATGTTGCTTCTGTTACTTTGAGACCAAGCAGTAACAGCAGATTCTTATTCCGGAATATGCCCAGCCCCTGTACCCATATCCATGCATATCATGGATATCATGGAATCAGCATCTGCAGGGGCAGAGCCAGAAGGAAGCCCAGGAAACTGGAGACAGCAGCCCTGCACAGGAGGGGATTCATCCATGCCAAGTGGGAACTCACCAATCCCTTCTTCCAGCTTGTGGATGGTGTGCGTTTCCACAGCCACCACAGCGGCGCTGGCCTCAGAGCCCTCTTGGTAAATCCTGTGGTGAAAGTGGCCATCCATAAACAAACTATATAAATCACGGGAAATTAGAGTTCACAGCACAGGGTTAAAAAAAATCAGTAAATTTCTTTTGGCCAGTCCTCAAGTGACATTAATTTTGTCTGATGCAGTTTCAATTACCTGGAATTTTCTGCGAAAACTAATAAAACAAAACACTAGCAGTCCCAAGGGCTGACACATGCAGAGGCATTCCCAGTGCTGTCATCCCACCCCGCACTCTGCCAACGCCACTGAGGCAGCTCTGCAGGCTTCCCTGTGCCTTTTCGTCTGCTTTCTGTCACCCTCGACAGCAGAAAGCAGAGCCATGTGTCCCAGGACTTCTATTCCAGCCCTGTGTGACAACCCAGCACAGGTGACCAAAGAGGGAGGTAACTGTCAGGCCCACAGCCACCCTGCCCTGCAAATATCAAACTAGAGCCATTTTTTTTCCATCCTGATTGATCCAGAGTGAAGATGAAGCTACTCTCTGCAGCAGCTGCGAGGGAGCTACAAAATCCCCTCCACATCCCAGCCCCACTTCATTTTAGAAGAGGATTATTTTAGGGGAGAGCTGGCACAGAGGCACCTGAAGGTCTGAACACAGAGACCACTGCATCCAGAAGCTGCACTGTGACAAAAACCAACCCTGGGACTGGAGAAGGAAGAGAAGGACTGGGACACTGTCCCCACGATCAGGGAGCACTGCATCAACACAGCTTCGCAGAATTTCAGCCCTCGGTGGCCCCGTGACAGCCACACACACAAAAAGATTTAATCTGTTGTATTTTCTCTCTCCCCTGCGTGGCACAAAACCAATGCAGACCTGGAAAACACAGTGACACTCTGTCCCTACACCACAAAAACCCACAGGGCTGCCCCCCATCCCACCTCGCACCCCCCAGTCACACCAGTACCATCCTACTCACCCTTGCTGCACTGGCTGGAGCTGCAAGATCACTTGGGTTTTGGTATCCTCCGGGTTCTCCCCTTCATTCCCGTCACTTGGTACAACCACCACATCACCCACAGGGACGCTCACCTCGGCATTCGCCATCTCTCACATGAGCCCAGCGATGTTTTCTCCTCCCTGTGGATCATGAGAGCTCGGAACAGATCCCAGAGGCAGATCCCACCAGTGTCATCCCACTCATAACTTCCTGAGCCAGCAGCTCTCTCCAGCTCTGAGCCCCCCAACCTGGCACCGAGGAACAAACCCACGTGGATGGCTTTTGGCAAGAACGTGTTTCCAACACAAAGCTTCTCCTGTTGGTCCTGGCCAGCAGTGCTTCCAGCCACCCTTGTGAGATGCTCTGGTCCTCCCCAGCATGCGCTGATACCTCACTACCAGGAGCATGCCTGTAGATGATCCTTCCCAGTAGAAGCTGGTGTCAAGGTGTGATGCTACCGCAGTAGGACCTGACAAGGGTCTTGGAGAAGCTGCACTCCCAGGGGATGTGCCTATGGTTGTGCACAAGGCATAGAGGTGGTTTTGCTATAGTGTGGGGCTGGAGGTCATCCCTGCAAGCCTGGGGTCTACCAGCTGCTGGGAAAGCCAATCTCAGAATCGTGCAATGGTTCGGGTGAGAAGGATCCTGAAAGCTCATCTCGTCGTACCCCCGGCCATAGGCAGGGACACTTTCCACTGGACCAGGCTGCTCCAAGCCCTAAGCAGCCTGGCCTTGGACACTTCCAGGGATGGGGCAGCCACAGCTTCTTTTCTTAACAGGATCTCCTGGCGGGTGACTGGGGCCCTGGTCGGGATACACCAGGACAAACCTGGGGAGCCGCTGGCACAGGGGCCACGCGCCCACCCGGCTCCAGGCGTGGGACTTCCGCGGGTCCCCGCACCACATCCCGCTCCGAGGGGAAAGACAGACCCACCCGGGACCCCGCGAGAGACGGCGGGGCTTCCCCAGGATATCTGGCGCAGAGGGGGGTCAGTATGACACGGACAAATCGCGGGGGCGATCGCGCCGAGGCCTTAAGTGAGGAGGAGGGGGCTGCACAGGGGAACCCCCCGGCCCCCGCGGGGTCTCCGGGCTGCGGTCCGAGGGTAGCCGCCTCCGCCGAGCTGGGGTCGAGAGGTCACGTGAGATGGGATCCGCGCGGCCACCCCGCGGCGCGCACGGCGGCGAAGGGGCGTGGCCCG